CCCCCCCCCCCCCCCCCTCCATGAGTCCAAGGTCTAGCCCCCCTAGAGAGAGGAGAATGGAGGAGGAGGAGGTCTGTTTGCGTCAGCCATCCACTAGCTTGGAGGCTCAAATTATTTTCAGCTGTGAGCCAAGCAGAGGTCACATGTTTGAGGGGAAACATCAACTGATTTTTTCCCCCTTTCTCTCCCTCTTGATTCCTTCCCTCTTACTAAAGAGCAAAACACAAATGAAGACCAGAAACCTTGCAACAAAAGATGGGTGAGGAATTGGGTGAGAGCCTCTGTAAAGAATGTATGGAGGGCCTCCTTGTTTTACAGTTAAAATGTTGGCTGTGGTGTTTTATATCACAGAGTTTGAGGACAGATGGGAGAAAGGGGGGAGGGGGACGTGCCTTGTCACAACTAAAGAGTATAGGATACTGCGAGGAATACGATATACATAGTTGCACTGTGAAGCTGCGGATACTTCACTATTTAGAAGCCCAAGGCCAAAACTCAGAATTTGGTAAACCCTAAAAGGGCAGTTTGGTTCTAACATGATTCTGACTTTGAACATGTAGGTCAGTACTCTGGAGAACCGGACATCTAGCGCCATTGTCTTCACAGGGATTCCAGTTCTACAGTGTTCAGTCACTGAAGAAACTCTATTCAGGAGCAGCAAAGGCTTTGTCTCCTACAGCCACTGGCCACCATTGTTAACCCTAACCCCCAGTGCAAGGTGGTCACCATAACAATAGAAGAAGGGCTGAGGGAGGCCATCTGTTGAGGCCAATAAAAACATCACGGGAAACGGCAACCCTAAAGACCCCTGCCTGGCCAGACCCTCGTATAGGCCTTAGGCCTGTGACAGGCCATGCATGCCGCAGCAGAGGAACTGATACGGTTGATGAGTGCATGTGTGGATGAAAGATGGATGAAGGGTTTCATTTATTTTATGATAAGTGAAACGTCAGTTTCAGGGAATACTTTGTACTACTGCAGTACATCTACGGTGCAAGTGACGTTTCAACGTAATTCAGAATACTAGCATCTAGTTCGCCCTTGAGGTTGCACTGTTTATGTTTCTTCAAACAATGACTACACTCTTGGGCAACACATTACACATGATGTAATGTCATTACTGCAGCAGAACAGAACAGGGGTCAGAGTTGCATTGTGCTGTGTTTAAATGTCAGAGTTGCCACAAATAAATAAGTTCAAGTGTGAGAACTTTCCGAGTTGTTGTCAGGCAGTTTCCATAGACAGTCTGATTAAAGCCGATGCGCCTCCTCTGTGAAGGAACTTTGTGTAAACCTGCGCCTTTTTGGTGACATTGGTTAATGTCATAGGTGGTAGAACACAAAGAGTCACACAGAGAATGCTTGTGATTGGTTTTCAATCCCGATGTGTGCAGGCCTTTACTGGCAAATCAGGCAGAATAAAAGTTTGGATGTTGGATGTAACATAAGGCGGTGGCACAGTTGCACCACAATGGTTATTTTCCCCAAACATGTCGACCTCCATGAATCTGATCAGCTAGAAATTTGATTTCAAACAGTGCACCGTGATGCTTCATGTCGTCTTGTGTTTCAGAAGGACTTATCAGCCAAGATGAGTGCTGTGGGAGTTACATTGGCTTTATCACATGGAGTGCAGACGTTGCTGTCAGTGTTTTCAACTTTATCAGAGCTCCAGCATTTGAGTCGCTGTCAGTGAGCTGTTGTTTGGCCGCTCCAGTGCTCAGAAGGCCTGCCCCTCTCAGACAGCTGCTTCTCATAAAAAAATCAGCCTCCCCTCCATCCCTCCATCCCTCTGTCCCTCCATCCCTCCGTCCAGCTCCACTAAAACAACTCGAGTCATGACATCACCGCTCCTCGCTTGTTCTTACTCAGACTACTCCGTTTTTACTATGGCATTTCAGAATACCTAATAAGGGTAAGTAAAGTTACAGCCTCCCCTCCATCCCTCTGTCCCTCCATCCCTAGCCTCCCCTCCATCCCTCCATCCCTCTGTCCCTCCATCCCTCCGTCCAGCTCCACTAAAACAACTCGAGTCATGACATCACCGCTCCTCGCTTGTTCTTACTCAGACTACTCCGTTTTTACTATGGCATTTCAGAATACCTAATAAGGGTAAGTAAAGTTACTAACAACCCACGCTGCATTTCATGTGAGTAAAATGGACAAATTAACCAAATAATTCAGCAGCTGAACTACTTTGTCATACTTTCAGTTGGGTTTTACGTAAAAACTAAGACAAAGAAAGTAGTGAATCTCAGTGGGGGAAAAAACAGTAAACAAGATGTGTCGTGCATGTACCACAACCATGGCTTTAATCACTTGAATGCATCGCAGCTCAATAAGGCATTTATTTCTCATAGGTTTATGATTCTGACCTTTTTTTGGGTCAAAGAATTATAAAGATTGGCGGTGGTGAGTAGGATCGATCCTGTCTTTTATTACTTTGTGCTTTCCTTGACAGTTTTCCCTCGACTGATGCAAAGAAGTGAATTATGCAGCCAGATCTGCTGTGAAGTTCTTCAGCACCAGGGGATTTCACAGAAGGCAACGTGCCTTGACTGGGGTTAGGTTTTGGAGACATGTTTGCTTGAATCCCAATGAAGTAGGAAAGGAAAGCTGGATGGTATAGGTCAGGATGTATGGAGAGGAGGAGGGAAAAAGTGGGCTGGGCAAATAAACAATGGAATTTTATCAGGGCTCAGCAGTCTCCTCTTTTTTTCTCCCTGTTTCTGGGTCCTGTTCAGGGCCCCCGCTGCTTTCCCAAGCTGATTTCATAGCAAGGCCTTGGACGTGAGCCAGAGAGGACAGCTTCACAAGAGTGTGTGCCAGCATCTGTGTGTGTATTTACTACGGAAATGTGATTGACACCAATGTAGTGAGCAACTTATTTACTATCAGTGGGTTGAGAAGCTATTTTAGTCTTTCAAATATATATTGACTTCTAACTTCTAACTCACCACACACTAACAAACACACTCCGACCTTCGGTTTGTCGTTTTTCACCTCTGCAAATTTTCTCCCGGTCTATTGTTTGTGAGAAGAGGATGGATACGAGACGGCATTGAAATTGTGCAACGGGAACAGAAGAAGAAATAATGCAAACAATCAATTTCCACCATTTATTTTTTCTTTTCTTGTCAGGATTATTAGTCAAGTTTATATATAGTTCTGCCGTCCATTGTTATATTTCTAGGGCCACACATAGAGACACTTCTTGTTCTTATAATTGTCATTTACAGCCAGACATTTGACGGCCCGGGTGTCTACATACTATCCAACTGGGACGTGCAAGAACAGACCACATTTTTAATCTAGAAACAAATTTGAATTATAAAAAGGGGCCGCAGAGAAAAACCAGTGTGTAATTACATTGCACAATAAGAACCCATAAATAAGAGGGCTTATTATGTACTGGAAGAATAGTTGCTCTCTGAGTCTGTGTGCATGTCCAGGATGTGTGATGTGACTGACTGAGGAACTATGGGTGTCCTCCGCTGCCTGAAATGAAGTCATCAGACTTTTGCACAGTAACTTGGGAATTCACCCTTTGCTGTGCTACTCCGAGTCCACGCTTGGATTAATGTGACAGTTCTGATTACACCACAAGGTCAAAGTCACAGGAAAGGGACGGGGAAAACTACATTCACACTCAGCAAAATCTTCCTAAAAGGCCTCCTTACTTTTAACCACCTGTCAAAATGTACAAATGACCACCCTGGAACAGTTTAACCACAGGCTTTTAATGGGGGAGGTCTCATTTTCCCTCTTGAGTTTGTGGCTTCCTATTCCACGTTCCAGTGACTGCAAATGGTCCAGCTTCAAAGTAATAAAGCATTTTACATGTCAACATAATCCCAAATACAAATTAAGAGCCACGGGCCGCTAAAGGGAGCTAATTGTCTACAATAAAAAGGTTAAAAGCTAATGTAATAGACCAAGTTAGTGAGATAGTATGCATCTATTTTTACACCGACTTAAGTCGAAGTCACTTCTTACCAAAAATCCCTTAATGATGATGATAAATCTTTGTTTGTATGTTAGGGAGCTACTTTGAAGGAAAAGCAAGCAAACAAACCTCTCCCTGCCCCTCCATCTGGGAAACGGTGTCACGTTTCCTTGTCTTGCAGAGGTGGAGCATCTGTCCTCCCCTTCTCTCCTAGAGACATGTCATGTCTTCTACACCAACATTAAGCTACCGTCAGCAGAGCTCCTGACTCATCTGCAGCCTGGTCTCAATTATCCCCCTGGCTTACCAGCGTGAGGGTTCATGCCAAGTCTTCCGAGAAAACCTGCTTTTAAAGAACTCTCACTTTGGCTTACAGTCGATCACCTCATCCAACATCACATCTGCCAAGTCCAACACTGAAGTAGAAACATCCAGCCTGACTCCAGCCAACCCTGAAAGATTAGGTGTAACTAGAGGCCTCAATATTCACCCAACAGCACTGGATGCCACATACAGTAAGACTGAACCTGCTTCAACAGTATATTCAAACATACAGGACTTCTACTACTACTGTACTGTCCAAACCTTTGATTTGTTGCAGTGCAACACTGTGTGTTTGGGCTACATACTCAGTCGCCTTTTCCCAATTATTTTGGGGAGATACTATGTAAAGTATTATTGTTTATAGATCTACACTACAGAAGAGCAGTGGTTCCCAAACTTTTTTGGCCTCTGACTCCATCTTGACATCACAATTTTCTGGCGAGCGCAGAGACATTTTAGTAGCTGTCACTTGTGCAGTCATAGGATCGCAGCCATTAATCAAGACGCACCAGCTCAGATATTTTAAGCATAAAATAAGGTTGCCATGGAGCTTTATGAAACCTGAATGAACACTATTACATTTAGAAGTCTTAAACCAATTTTAAAGCTTATAATAAAAAAGCTGTTGTGTTATTTAAAGAATAAGTGAAAATTACCAGTTTTTTCCACATCTCTTTCATATTGTGTAGTGGTAGTTTTAAGCCTTGAAAATATTTGATATTGCTCATTTAAAGTATGAAAGACACATTTAAGGGATCGTCTGTCACAGGGTATGATCAGAACTAATTGGACTACAGCTGTGGGGACCCTTGATAAAGAGAAAACTAGAAAAGGAAATACTATAAAGAGTTGTCTTAAATACATTCTAGGATGGTCTGTATTCATGAGCACAGCTCCCTTAACAGGCATTTCAACGGCTAGGTTTCTGCATTTCAAACTTTTGTTTGGTTTTTGCTGCCATTCAAGCTAACATAGACACCACTGGAACCACAACAGCCAGAAGTTCTGCTTCATTATATTCTTATAAACCAGACAACTAAACACCATGGTCTCATTTGACAGAGCTGAGGCCTTGGATGTACCTGCAGTTAATCCACTGTGGTTTCCGTCTACATAAATCATCACTGACACAGTAAATAAGGCTATAGAAAGCTTGCCAGAAAAAAAGTCATAAACTCTTCCTTTAAAAATCAGCCTTGCTTTTTGAGAGTGTGTGCAGTGATGAAACCAAATAGATCCCACAAAAGCCTGAGGTCAGACAAAAAAGTGCGCAATCAACTTCTGTCCTTAAGCAACAGTGGAAATAAATGGAAGTTACAGACAAGTTAGGAAATGTCAGTGAATGCACCATTTTTCCAAGCGATAATAGCGCTCCCCGGGGTCGGGCAGTTATCTGATATTTCTCTGTGCTGACACTTTACGTGGGATTTTCTACCATAATGCAAAACCTTCTTCACTAAACACAGACACAGACGCAGTGATTGTGCTGCGTTGAATGGAACTGGGAGTGGATATTTTCAACAATAACCTTGTGATCGCTAACATACTTCTGTGGGCCCCAGATCAAATTTCTCTTCCAAGCCGCGGTCTCTTAGTTCAACTTTAATTCTTAAACACTCTCTCCGCCCATTCCCTGTCTCCACCTACTCAATTTAAGGGTTCTGTGCAGTGATTCTCACTAGAACACTCCTATTCCATCAAACCCTGTTCTGGTTCTCTCTAAGCCTGCAGAGGAACACAGTTTTATTATTCATCAATCCCCACAGGAGCCAGGCGAGGCGAGAGCTTGGGAAAGTTCTCTTCCGGAGTATAAACTCCCCAGTCTAGGTCACAGCTGACTTTTCTGACCTACACACACCCTGTGACCAACAACTGTAAACCTGAGCCAAGAAAACCAGTAGATGGAGGAAAAACCAGTGTAACTGACCTGTACTTTAACTCAAGCAAGCTAAAGAAAACTGTTCCAAAAGATTTCAGAACTAACTGAGGTGGAATATGTTTTCTAGAGATGAAACAATAGTTAACAGATTGTAGTTTGTAGATTGAATTGGGTTTGACTGCAGTACTCCATCTTATGCTCTTTCATCTTCTTTATATATATTTATTATGTTACATACATATATTTTGATGTATTTACAGTAAGCTTGAATCTCATTCTGACTTGAAGTGGTTGAAGGTTAAATATTTGATTTAAAAATGTTGCACAAACATGCATGTAGCTCCTTTTTGTCCCCTCCAGGGGCCATCTACCTACAACACACCTCAAGAAAATATGAAATACTTAAACCGATTTCAAATTCTTATATATATGGTATTGTCTATAAAATCATTTACTAATTTAATTACAATAGAAAGGGAAAGGGCCTATTGTTGCAAATGAACGCACCATTATACACTCCTAGTGTCATTAAGTAAATATAAGAAGTAAAAAGCTTTATTTTCTTATGTTGGAATTATCTTGGTATTTTCTTGGGATTAGGTATTCATATAAATATGGAAAAAAGAACGAAACATCTTTGCATTTTACTGTGAATCATTGAATCCCTTAAATGACAGGTGAATGGCATTCTTGTCATTCTTTAGAAAAGATTAGATAAGAGGCCATGACAAGACAAGGTAAACTGAGTAGAGAGGATAAGAGAGAGGAGGGGGAGGAGATGGAAGAAGAAGAAAGAAAAGGGGACAAGAGTGGAAAAAGGAAGAGGAAATGAGTGGAGAAGAGAGAAGAGGACACATTCTGTTGATTGTAACTGGAGCAACACTATGCTAATAATTTAGCATAATAATAATAACTATAACTATAACTTAAATAATAACTATTTAATTTGTCTCATCAGCTCCTTAAAAAAAGAAAACTCTTCTGAATAAATATATTTGAAAACTAAGAATATTCAAAGCCCTGGTCAACAAATCCATGCCGTTGGCTAATTGGTCCAGTTCTCTGAAGTTGAAGTGTATTTGCCTCTATTTCTCTACAAACACTTCAAAACCACACAACAGGAGAAGGATTCCACATATGTAAATGTTCTACTCGAAAAGAGTCACAGCAGCCATGTCACCATCTGATTTCCTTGTCAATGCAACTAAGACACTTAAAAAAGAGCAACAGCTTGGAGGCAACTGACAGTTTGAGAACATTTGTGATGAATTATTATGGATCAGTAAAAAAAAACAACATGACCTGCAGCCAACTCATTATCCAGTGTAATGGAATGCATTATCCTTGCATGCATGTGTAATTATTTCACTCTTACAAGCATAGGGTCAAGCGTGTCAACGATGGTATGTAGAACTATCCTAGTGTGTGCATACGGAAGACAGCGAGAGAGAGAGACACAGAGAGAGACACAGAGAGACAGACAGGGGGAGTGAGCCAGATTTTGTGCGTTTCGTCATATCAAAGGAAATTCTTTCACCGTCACCACAGGACACATTTTTTTCCTGTATGTCACCAAGGTAACAACGGCAGCTTGAAGCTAAGGCAACAGATTGGATCAATGGGGCCTTTAAGGTTTAGGTTGCCTGGTAGAATGCCTGTCAAAAGCCAGTTCCTGTAAAAGGAGGGGGCGACAGCCTGTAACCTCCAAAGGCCCTGCTGTCACTTTTTGTGCCAGAAAGAATTGAGAGGACAGATGTTTCTGGAGACTCAGTAAACACACTTTAATCACCAAAGTGAAGCCTGCTTCTGCTGCAGAGTATCACAAAATTGTGGGTCCTGATCTAAAAGCTGGTTACGGCTAAGCTAATGACTGAGGGGCAGGGGAAGAGGGAGGGTAATTTTGGGTTCATTTGGTAGAAAAGCACCTCCAGACTTTCAAGAGTCCGGGCAGAGCTGGTTTCTCTAGAAACCTTGAAATCAAAGTGTGCTGCTCTTCAGATGCTGCTGCTCTTCATCATCAAGAAAATGATGCATCCAACTTGAAGGCAACTGAAATTTTGCGTAACCACACTATAAACACAATAATGCAAACCTGCATCGACACATGAGGAAAATGTGGCAGCAGTGTGTCTGATGCCTGGCTCACTGGGAGAAGTTGCAACATTTCAACACATTTGTCATGTAGGACATTTATTATTTTTATTTTTTCTAATATAACACCCAGACATTCCTGTTGCTGAATAACAGATGCAATAGGACTTTATTGGATTTTGAAAATGTATAGAGATTATCACTTGTCTTGTACCAGTTTCAGTGCTGCAACTGTGGCAATAAATGTTGCTATAACACAGCTGTTAAAATGGACCTTAAGCTCCAGTTATTTGCTTGGATTTCCATGGGAAATCAAAAAATGTACTTTCAAAAATTTGCAGGGAAGGCTAAAAATCTAACTTGGTGCACATCGTGGTTAACTGCAGTCATGCAGGCAGACAGTTATGTAGTCTGTGCAACTAACTCAAAATGTAAACAACGGGCACACACACACACACACACACACAGACAGGAGCCTGCTTATTACAACCTTGCTGACTAGCAGACACTCAGTCCCTCCTTCTTTATCTCTCCTAATCTCCAGCTCCATAAACCTCTCCTCAGAGCCGACCTAAGAGCCAGACAGTTTTAATTCAGTAAACCTTTTACTCCAGTCCTTATTAAATGGGACATGAGGTGCACACAAATGGAAGCCAGTGAGGAAGAATGCTGATTTGTTTCCTATAAAAATGCCCAGGGACCTGCGTGAGCTGTTTGTTTATGCAGTGGTTATAATGGAACGGCTCTGTGAGTCTGACAGTTCACAAAGACACCGTGATTTAGTCTCTATCAGGTCTGACCCCCTGTTATACAGACCTTCCTCTGAGGCTCTGCTGGAAACACAAAGTACAGTAACACAATTCAAACCAGCAGCACAGCATGACATGAGGTGTGTGGATATAAAATATTCTTAATAATTCACCAGATGCCTAAAGTGAAGCTGCTGCCTGCAGAATATGTTTCCTTCACGTTTCTCTTCAGTGTGAAAAGTTCTTTCATCTCCATCTTCATCTGCATCTTTCTGTAACTTCTACACTTACTTTGATTGAATCTCTTTAGGCACTTTTGCATGCATTTGTTGTAACACTTTTTGGACAAATAATTATGGAGCAGAGGAGTCTCTTGTGGGCAGTAGAAGTGGATATGGTGCGTAAAGATAGAGACTAAATACACAGCCAAGCTTATATGAAGCTAAGGTGCTTTAGAAGATAACGCAGCTCAGCATGGACGGGTGGGGGCGCAGGAGGGGGACACTTCATGAGATTTACTTTTTCCAGAATGAATTATCTGCTGATAAAATGTATTCAGACAGCAAAAAAAAAAAAACACTTAATCAAAAGAAGCTCAGGAGAAAACACACGCAGACACACACAGACACAAGAGGGGAGTCTCTCTCTTTACCTTTCTGAGCTTGGTGAGCCCTGATGAAGTGCTCCTGAAGTGCTTTTTCATTTTGTGTAACCTGACTCCACAGAAGAAGATAGCATCCACTGGCATGGTTCCTTTCCTTCTTCCTATATCTCTCTCTTTCTATTCTGCTTTCTTTTTTTTCACAGCCTTATTCCAGCTCCAACTTCACCTACTGTCTCCCTCAGCATAGTCCCTGCCGGTGAACACAAAGAGAGACACGGACCTCAGCCCGGAGTGCACAAAAAGTTTGAATAAAGGCACAAAGTTTGGAAATCCCTCCTCTGGTTCAGCCTCCTCCAGGATAATGTTTTCTGGTGTTTCTCTTTCCTTTTAACCACACACACTCACACACACTCACTCACTCACACAAACACTCACTCACTACGGCTCCTATCTCTCACTGGAAGCAATTCCTTCTCTCTCTCTCTCTCTGTCCCTCTCTCTCTCTCTGTCTCAAACTTTTCCCACCCCTCCTTCCCTCATGCAACCCACTCCCATTTTCCCTTCCTCCCTCCTTCTCCTTTCCCCCCTCTCTCTCTCCTCCCTCTCCATTTTCCATCCTCAAACCCCCCTCCCTGTCCACATCCCCTTCCACCCACCGAAACCCCCCACCGCTGAACTAATCTGCAGCTGGCTGGGCCATCAGAGCCCGGGTTGCTACGGAAACCAAGTGTCCTGTTCAAGAAAAAAAAAGAGAAGGAAAGAAGAGAAACGAAGCAGGAAGGGGGCAAAGCTGAGCATGACTGAAGACATAAATAAAAGCGTCCTTTGGGAACCCATTAAAGAATCCCCGGAGCCGCTCATCCTATCTTCAAGAAAGGAGCGTGCTCTTCTTCTGTACATTTTTAAGAGATGGCTTACTGATAAGGGTTTATCAACAATAACAACAACAACCTCAATCATAGCAAACAGTAGAGCAACAGATGCAGTGTGTATTGAATGGATGTGTGGTACAGTGAACTGCACAGACAATGGTTTGGTAGTGTTTTGGCCGGTTGTAGTTAAATCGTCCTTGACAACTAACAAAACAATTGGGACAGTCCTGCTCTCCTTAATGGGATTTGGACCAAGTAGAAAAAGAATGTAAGAGAACAGGAAACATGGCTGGACCTGAATACTGATGACCCGAGTGACTAATGATTGACCTGCTCACCCCAGGATTAGATCCATTGTCTCTCAAGTCCATTATTACAAACACTGACTGACTGAGCAGGAAAACTGCCATTTCCTAAAAAGCAGCATACACTGACTGAAGCACAGAAACAGAAATGCTAGAAACCAGTACATATGAATGATACTGTTAGAAATATGATAAATAGTCATTGTTTGAGCCATAAGTAATAAGCAAAGAGTGGTAGGAGTATGGATCAGTGGATGAAGAGGGTTGTCTTTCAACAGAATGGTTGAGGGTTTGGTTCTGGCTCTGACCCATAACCTGTGACACCAAATTTGTAAAATGGTGCTGATCAGAGACTGGGGTATTATTTAAACACTTGCAAAATGGAGGAATATACGATTTTGTCAGGAAATGTATGTAGGAGGGGCGGCATGCGTATTTTACAAACTAAACAGTGAGCAGTTTTAATTAGTCATCTAACTGCCTTAGGTCAGCAGAGCATCTACGCAGCTGACCCTTGAGTATAAACCGTGACCTCACCTTTGAAATGCAAGATAGATCTAAAAAGCCTGGCTTTTCCATCAATGGCTGCTAAAGCACATGGTAGGTGGGGGCCAGTAACATCTGTTTGGTGTTTATCCCCTTTATTGTGTTGCTGAGTCCTCTATTAGGCCCACAGCTGGGATTTTAAGATGGTCTTCTGAGCCCACTGTCCAAGGGACTTACACCGTGACGGGAAAGATGCCAAGTACACATTCTCAGTCACTGACAGTTTAAATAGAAGAATTTGAAAGGCGGAGGATCCTCAAACCAGTGACCAGTGCTGTCCAAGCACCAAGTCCAAAAACAGGTCACATTACTTATTTATGTGTCAATTCTAAAAACACTTCACCACTAGATGTTGGCAACATGTGTCCTTTTTCTTTCATGTAATTTGAAAACACAGATTGAAATAGACTTGTTGATGATAATTCTTATTTGGGAAATCGGTGTGTATTTCATATTGAGGCAAACTAAAAATTGTGAATTTGAATTATCATATACAATATAATTTATAATAAATATGTACTTATTGCGCAGGTTTTGTATTCTATACATTTTGATAAGGGAAGCTTTATACAGAACTTCATAAAATGTTTTTCTATATTTAAATCACTGTATAAAGACGTGAAGGCTTTTTGTAAGCTATGGCTGAGGTTTTAGATAGCGTCCCCTTTAAGGAAGGATCATGTGATGTTGGCGGCGTGACGCAGACCCGGAAGTAGAGCCGCTGTTATTGCTGCAGAGTTATGGCCTCACTCCTCCACTGCTAGTGGAAATGTGTGGTGTTTTCTGTCGTTACGGTAACAACGCAACGTGCGTTGTGTTTTTTGGCACCTCAACAGTGGACTAAAATATTTGCACTTTTATCTCTACCTTTTCAGAAAATGGTTGTAACCGCCACGTGGCTTAAGTTTAGGTTCAAGACTGAACTTGTGACATGCGCCGTAGCTTGTTTTGTGTAGCTATAATAGAGACGGCTTCAATTGAAGAGAATTGATGAGAATGGCTTTTGCCGTGGGTGCTGTTTTTTTCAATCTGAGATGTAGTCTCAGAAAAGCGGCCTCATTCACAAGAGTCAGATTTTGTCCAAAGTCAAGTTCGTGCTTTGTAAAGAGAAGCCACTGTTTATCTCAGATACCCAAGGTGACGCTGCTTTGCTGGGGTGCAGTAAATGCAGCATCATTGACAGCCAGGTGCCAGGAAGCCACTCTTCGACCCCAAACCTCTGATAAAAAGACTATAGCCAAACTTCAAGTGCACAAATTAGTGTTTTATATTCGCCTCAGCCTCCGCGCATTGATTCTGCTCCTCAAGTTTGGACCTCTACTCCTCCTGTCCCCATTGACTCTGCTGTCCACTTACTGGGCATCTCACTGGCTGGACGCTCTGCTGTGGGTGACTGAGACCTCTGGTCCTACTTTTATTAAGCTGGGCCAGTGGGCCAGCACCAGACGAGACATCTTTTCTCAGCAGTTTTGTGAACGCTTCTCTAAACTTCACATCCAAGTGCGTCCTCATTCTTGGCCCCACACCAAGCAGTGTCTCCGCAGGGCCTTTGGGGACAGTTGGAGGGATGTCTTGGTCTTTGAGAGTAAAGAGCCAGTAGGTTCAGGATGTATTGCCCAGGTGTACAGAGGCTGGGCCAAGGCTGACCGAGTGGAGGATCCAACCTTCAAATCGTTGGTGGAGGACATGGAAAAGGAAGACTTGTTGAAAGCCTGGGAGATCCCTGGATTTAAAGTGGTGGCCAGTTCATTTCAGCAGCTGTGGAACGGTAACAAGGATAAAGAGAGCTGTAAAGAGAAAAGCTATAAACATGGTCAGTATAACGCAAGCAGTAGAGAGAAGGAGCATCTTATACCAGTTGCAATCAAGGTCAGTAATGCGTCCGCATTGGAGGGGCCTCTCAATTCTGCTATTGCTTTTAAGTAGTGTTAAGTAATCTTGCGTGAGTGTTTGTGTGAGGTCTATAAAAAGTCTTTCCTTTCTTTATCCATTCCAGGTGCTTCACCCAGGCGTCAGGCAGCAGGTAGAGATAGATCTGTTGCTGATGAAAGCAGGCAGTTGGCTTTTGCACTGTGTTCCATCACTGAAATGGCTCAGTCTGTATGAGATTGTAGAAGAGTTTGAGAAGCTCATGACCAAACAGGTTAGAATGTTTACAGATATGTATACAGTTAATGATAAAGAATAAAAAATAATTTGTCTAAGGAATGACTGAACTTCCATTTCAGATTGATCTCCGCTTTGAGGCCAGGAACATGGAACATTTTCGTGATAATTTCCGTGATGTTGATTTTGTGAAATTCCCAACTCCTTTGCGACCATTCGTCACTAGAAGTGTTTTAGTGGAAACCTTTGAAGTAAGCTGAACTTTATCAAACATCTAGTGGAAAAAAAGTTTTCAAATACAAGCGGGTGACATTTATTAATTCTACTTGAATTACAATGGTTTTTCTTGGTTTCCAGGAGAGTGAGCCCATTTCAAAGTACCTGAAATCTGACATTCCGCAAGAGTTGAAACAGAAAATCGCCAGGATGGGTGTAAACTTGTTACTGAAAATGGTGAACAAGACTTTTTGTGATTTCACTAAAATTTATTACAAGTAAACTACATTTTACCCCATAGGTTTCATGTCTTTTTTACCAGAGTCCGTCTCTATTTTAGGTCTTTGTTGACAACTTTGTCCACGGGGACCTGCATCCTGGGAACATTCTGGTCCAGTATCAGGGAACTCTTTCTGATCTCTGCAACAGTGGTGACAATCAATTGAAACCTGAGGGCAAGACTGCCCTCACTGACTTATGGGACACAGTTGTTGTCAGCGTCAGACCAGAACCATTTCCTCTTCAGTTGGTGTTACTGGACGCTGGCATCATCGCTCAGCTCAGTGACCACGACCGTGCCAACTTCAGGGCTGTGTTCACTGCTGTGGTGCTGCGGCAGGTAATGAGTAAATAAAAGGACTTCAATGCGGTTTCCACTGACCTATAATTCAACTGATTTTTTTAACAGGTTATTGTTAACATTGAGTGACTGTGTCTTTTGCATTTTTTTTAAGGGTGAAAAAGTTGCAGAGCTGATTTTGCATCACGCCCGAGCAAATGAATGTCAAGATGAGCCACAGTTCAAGAAGGAGATGGCCCAGTTAGTGGACCACGCTGTCGGCAACACTCTATCCTTGGAAAAGGTATGAAAAATGTGGGGTTTTTTTTGTGTTTTTGATTTTTTTTACCCCACTCGTTCAGAATAAACAGCATTGGAATTTTGTATGCTTTGAATCGCCATGTGGTGTAAAATCAGGTCAACCTCAACTATAATCCTAAACATGTGGCGAAGAGAACATGTGTTTTGTTGACTTTTGCTATGTTTACTGTGTAGATCCAAGTGGCTGACTTGCTCTCCCAGGTCTTTGGTCTGCTCATGAAACACAAGGTAAAATACTGTATTACCAGGTCATACTTTTCATGGTCAACAAACAGAAATCTGAATGACCAATGCAATAAATACTTGTCTAGGACTAGCTATATTTTGTTCTGTATTAGTAATGATAAACTTTGTCGTGAAGGTAATTGATCAAGTCTTGTATGTTTATTCTTGTTATTTATGTTTTACTGCTGGCACTAATTATTCAACCTACTGATGGTCTCACACAGGTGAAGCTGGAGAGTAATTTTGCCTCAATTGTATTTGCCATCATGGTGCTGGAAGGTCTGGGCCGGTCCCTGGATCCAAACCTGGACATCCTGGATTTGGCGAAGCCTCTGCTGCTGAAGAACTGTACCTCACTGCTCTGACACACAAACTCTGGTTGGTTCACTCACAGGCACCAACCTGCACAGTGTAAACTCAGAGGGCAGCTACTTATAGAATACATTTGTCTTCCTGATTAGTGTTTCTAATGGGTACAAATTACAGGCTACATGTGAACAGTCTCTTTACGTATACCTCATTTAGTTTTGTACGGTTGACTCTTGTATTTTAGGCATGAGGCAATGACAAGGATCCTTAAGGTCCAATCACAGGAGATTTTTATCAGGGTAATTCAGATGACTTAAAAGAACAGTTCCACTTTAAATGCTTTATGTCTGGAGCATTTGCCTTTATAGAATCAGACAGAGCAGCATGAACGTATCATCTCGGAGTTAAAATCTGAAGCAGAATAAAATTCAATTTTTAATGCTTAATTATCTTTATCTTAATGTTTTTTAATTATAATTTTGACTACAATACAAAAGAAACAGTGAGATGTTTTTATGTTTTTGTACTGTAGTAAACCAAAAATGTGCAAAACTTTACTTATTATCTTTTTTATTTTCATAGTAATAGGTGACAGTTATTGGAAATGGAGTATAGTATATTGATGAATTCAACAACAAAAACAACAAAGAAAGAAAAACAAATATACAACTACAGATCCTACTGTGTGCATTGTATTTTAAGAGATGAACATCGCAACTTATTCAAAAGGTGATCACAAATTTACTTTAGACCGTATCCATGAACACCTTAGATTCTTACGTATCTCCAATTGCCCTGCTTCAATGTAAGCCTGTCAATCAAAGAGTGGGAACAGACGTGTGAACATAGAGTTAAATATAAAGGGAATGTGCATCAAATAATTTATCTTTTTTTTTTTTGTCTCTAGATCTCTCACTCTAGAGTGTCTTTAGATCACAGACGTTTTATTCAGTAATATATGAAGGATGTGTACTGATGAAACAGAAAAGTCACCACACCAAGGCCACGGGATCCAATAAATTACAATTTTATTAAATCTGTCAATGAAAAACAAAGACAAGAGACTTGAATCTGCCAGAACAGTCAGCATGGCTGAAATAGTGAGATCAGGAGGTTTTGGTGGGGAAAAATAATTAAAATCAAATAAAACATCCACTTGTTATTGCAAAACTGTTGATTTTCTTCTTTTTTTTAAAATCCAAATCAAGAGCCGAGACAGAGCAGCATTGTTCAAGTGAGGTGGGAGGGCAGGTGACAACTGTGTAAAAAATTATTTTTTAATAATAATAATAGCAATTATAATAATATGAAATAAATATCTAATGGACGAACACAATCACCTCAGTATAAGACGAAGATTCTGTCACAGTTACAACAACTAGACAAAAGTTGTTTTCTTTTTCCTCTTTTTTATTAATGAATTAAATAGTTTTCTTAAAAATATCTCACCATTTACTTATACTCATCTTTTTTCATTTATTGCGAAAAATAGGCAACTGGACTAAGTGTAGTGATGGAAGTGTGTATTTGTGTGTGTGTGTGTGAAACAGAAACGGATTACGTGAATACTAAGTTTGAACGTCTACTAGCGTTGGCACTGAGAGCAGCAGCAGCAGCGGTGGTTGTGAAGTTGCAGTACTCTCTTTAGTCCACCGGGTGGCTCTGTTCAGTATAGGCATTCTCCAAGCCTACGCTCTCTAGAGGTTGTCAAGTTGTGCCAACGACAACCGCATGTTGTTGTTGTTGGAATGACGCTCGGTCTTTGTCCTTTAGTTCTTCTTTATTTCAGATTTGCTATATCAGACTTTTATGTACAAATATTTCAATTTCCAGACTGATTTTACAAAGACAGGTGCAACCTCCATGTGACTGTCTTCTTACTGGAAAAAAGCTCAGGGTTTGAAGGGTCTCTGTAAATGGGATGAGGCGTTAGTACTGACGACTTTACAGATTTGTTCTTGTAACTTAACGTAGGGAATGAAGGAAACAAAACCATGGATTAGGAATGTTGAAGCTAAAAGGAACAAAAGTTATTAACAGATCTGTCATCAGAGCGCCACGGCAACGTCCAGGTAAATCTCTCTGACTAAAATCTCCAAAATAGGCGATGAAACCGGTAAAATGTGCGAGTAAAACCATGACTCCTCTCTTCATTGGTCTGTATCCTCTCATGCTCATCCATCAGTCTCCCCATGCATTGTAAAAATAGTCCACTAACACCAAGCAGTCCTCACCAACGCTCATCAGATTGCACTTGAGTTTTTTTTTTTTTAACTTTATTTCTCATACCATACATTTTCAATCAGTCTTTGTCAGAGTGGCATCTGTCGTTATTGTGCCCCCAAAGGAGTGGCTGTCCTCCGGGTCTCTGCAACAACCTCCAGCAGGAGTTACGCGGCTCTTGTAGGAGGGCAGAGAGTAGGCACCCAAACAGAGAAAGACGGTTTTTGGGTTTGGATACTTGGAAGATATCTAGGTGTAAACTTCTCATCCAATATGTTGGGTTTGAGAGTCGATGGAGGCAGGTCTCGAGAACAGGCACATATGCTAATTCTCTCCCATGACATGACCTCATTGCTGTCTTTAAAATCCCTGCCTGGCCAAAGTTTGTGGCAGATGGAACTCTGGGACATCTGTAATGCTTCTCTCCTTCACTGTGCGGTCACATTTGAGAGCATCAGCAGCTATCAGTGGCATCTCCAGAGTCCAAACAGGTCGTTCTGTGAGTTTACGAGAGATAAATTGATGGAAATGTCTGACCCGCGACAACCCCAAGAGAGAAGAGGGAGACGCATTTTTCAGATTCTTTGTACGACGTGAGTGGCATCCGTCCTTAAATCAACCGAGGGAGACGTTAAGGAAGACACATTTACTATGTCACGTTATCTCCATCAGCTTGTCTATACATTCCATTGGGGAAAAGATGGAGGGAGTTTAACATAGACAGATAAGCGAGTACGGCAGAATGTCTGGGACTGGACAGGAGGGGAGTCTTTCTCTTTGTCTTCTGCTCCGTTTTCTACTGTTGTTCCACAGGCCGTCCACAGAGCAACATTTGGGGTAACTGTTTCAGGGACGTGGGGACATAGGGGACAAGGACATCCGTTCGTGGTTTGTAGCTACGAGTTGAGCCAGGCGTGGTTGAGGCATTCGCTGGCGGAGGCCCTCTTCTCAGGCACCATCTCCAGCATGGGCAGGAGGAAGTGGGTGAAGTGGCCTGCGTCTTCATGAGACCAGCCGTACTTCTCCACCAGCACGTCGAACAATGACCAGGGCTTCAGTTTTGTGATGTGTCGCAGTTCACCTGCAGAGGGCGACATAGAGCAAGAAATAAAAAATAAATAACAAGAGAGAATAAAGAGGGGGGAAACGTGGCTCATCCAAATTACAAAAAAAAAACTAAAACGTGTAGCTAAGTTCAATATCATTGACCTGAGGCACAATAGTTTCCATTAGCCGCTGTGTTGACTAAGTGACAAGCTATTATATATTATGATAGAATGTATATTTAATAGCATGTACTGTATGCATTTTTATATACATTATAATGTTATGAACAGAGCAACTGCAGTTTAATTGAATCTTCATTAGCACACGCTAACTTGTGATAATGTTGCTTTTTTCTGGATATTTAATGTCTTTTTGCACTAACTTCGATAAGAAGCTGAATCGAAGCTAGCCCTTTAATGTGGCTAGCTTCACATTGATATTCCATCAAAGTACACCGTACAGTACATTAGCTACGTCAGTAGCAACTACTTTTTTAGAAGCTTAATTTGAAAAAAATCGCTTCACAGTGTTTCTGTTGGAGACAGATTCTTACAGATCTTTGTAATTAGGATGAGCCAGCACCAGATGGATCTGCACAACAATCACCGCAGCCTCTAATTTCAATAATTAGCTCACTTCTCAGTGCTAAGAGAGGAGCTAATCAGTGAGGAGCTGTGATGATTGACTGAGACCTGCAGACCTGGGGCTCAGTCCGACTGACACAAAGGGCAAGATGTGGAGAAAGAGCAGAGAAGTAAAAAAAAAAAGGAAAAGAACTGAAGTACAAGGTCGACAGAGATGGCGACTAATTAATGGTCAATCATGATGAAAGGTGGAAATCAGGGCTGTCATGGTCACCTCTCCGTCCGTGCTGATTAAAGACGGTAGAAATAAATTTGTCTTCACTGACTGGCTGAAAATCACTTTAGAAAAGTGATTTTGTTTTCCGTTTTTTTTTTAACGGCCATGTAACTCTATACAGCTATTTTTAGATCGGTGGAATCTTGGTCTCCAATCAGTGTTTTCTTTTTTTTTTTTTTGTCAGATTCTAATGGAAAATGCAGCAGCAGGAGCTCATTTACACTACACTGGAGAGGACACAATGGCAGACAGAGGAGGTGGAGGCAGAAGAAAAGGAGGCATGAAAGTCACAACAGATTAACAACAGCGCTCAGAGATAAAAGAGAGAACATTGAACCGACTCAGATAGAGACATCAAAAGCAGAATATTCAGGCCTCACGACAGATTATGAAGAATAGATGAGGAGACGCAGAGAAAAAGGGAGTAAATCCAACTCCGACCCATACACTTACCAGGCTCACAGTCAAGTTGGGGGAACTCTAAGTAGTTCATACACCGTGAGATACTCATTTACTTTAGTCGCTCCTATGTCTATGAACTGTCAATTATTATGTCGATTATTTACAGTCCATAATGATTGAAGATGCTGCCATTAATATAAACTGATCTTTTTCACTGCAATTCAACTATATTTTTATTCAATATTTCATATTCATATTCAGTGGTTCTTAATTAGTTTCTGTCATGCCCCCCCTCCTTTCTCCCCCCTTGGGGACAGAAATGTTTTCACGTCCCCCCCCTGCTCCCCCAGACCCACACTCCCGTGAATTGAAATACTATTGAGAACCTAATAACGTATATTTCTTTAACTGTACAAACCACTGTAGGAGTTGCTGCCACCTAGTGACTGGAGGCTTGTTATCATTCATGTATTACAGCAGTGGAACACTTGTCCATATGCATGAATGCCATATTCCATTTGAAGCCCCTCACCGCCCCCACCCCACTGTTTGAGAAGTACTGCTTTAGGTCTATTATTGATGAAATAAATTGTTTTATTGCATTAAACTAAAGGAGTCTTCTCCTTCATGTCAGCCATGTGAACTACCTTACTTGAGTGCCCACCAATACTACATCTACCCGACAGACACGAGCACACCCAGGTTCTGTTGCTACAACCTCGCTCTACAGCTGTTTTCAGCAGCGGGAGTCAAACCCTGTCCCTAACCGTCCGTCAATCATGGAGTTGTTTACCTTTCTTGGAGAAAAACTCTCGGCTGTACTTCCCAGCAGCAACCACTTTGCGTGGGACCTTCCCAAGGAGCTCCATGATCAGAGCGATGTGGTCTGCCCACCACCACATACATCACAGAGGGAACAACCATGGTTCAGCATTTCAGCATGCACACACACATCAACACGACAGGCTGTATGGGACTGAGGCACGCTGAAGCCGTGGAGCGCCGCATGGACACACTCCTGGACTGACTACACACTGAAAAGGTGACGACTGTCAACCCGTACTTCTGTATCAATTTCAACAAAGTCCAATCACAATGTTCATGTTTTGTTTTTTTGGCTTTTTTTACAGTCACTTGTGTCCACTTTTGGCCTGTCAAGACATTTGCGTGCCTCTGTCCCACCAGCTCTCTGTCCAGCGCTACCTCTTCTGTTGAAGAACTCCCTGGAATATTTTCCGGAGAGAGCAAAGTGCCTCGGAATACAGCCCAGCAGCTCTATGATGTGAGCTATGTGGTCTACGGAGGAGAGAGAGGGGAGGTAGGAAGGGGGAGAAAAGGAATGGGGATGCAAGAAAAAGGGAAGGGAAGGAAAGGAAGAGAGAGGGGAGGACGTGCACAAGGGGGAAAGGACACAGAGATTGTACAGAGAAGTGAGAATAGAAAACAGAGAAAGAAAAGTGACATGTTCGTAAGAGAGAGGGGACGATAAAAGAAGACAGTCAGAGACAGTTAAGGAGAAAAACCATGTTAGTGAGCTGTGCCTCCACAGCAGAGGTGATGAAGTGAAAATGTTCAGCCTAGAATCAAAGTCTCATGAATTCAGATGCAACAAACAGATAGAGCGAGAACGAAAAACACATTTTTAAATTTGGACACGGTGGCAGGAAAGTCCCAGAGTATAAGGATGACATCTTCGAAGCTATACTATTTTTTTTTTTATTGCTTGTGCAAAACATGCGCAATTGTGTTTGTCGCATGCAATGACAAAAATATCACAATGAAGCCTGGTGAGATCAAAGATTCGTGGGGGAGAAGAGACTAACCACGGTGTGAACATGTTAATGTGTTCTGCCGACGTGGAATAAATAGAACCGGGTCTCAATGCAAACGGGATTGAAGTATTACGTACTACACACAAGTAGAATATAGATACACATACTGTACTCACAGGTTAAAGCACTTACTCTTCGTTCATCTGTGTATGGGTTTCTATGACTGACTGGAGTCTAGACACTGATCACAGTGGCAGCAGTGATGTGAGCTCTCTGTGTGTCTATGTCATGTTCGTGTTAAAGGTACACAGCAGTGTGGAAATGAGTGGAGGCAGAGCAGGAGAATTCAAGGACAGGATTCACAGTTGACAGTGGATAGTGGGATACAGGAAGAGGGTACGGCTAATTTAATCTAATCTTCATTTACACATTTTCTATCCATTTAGAACACGTTGTTAATGACAACAATAAATTAAACTATAAAGTGTCTTAAATTGTTTTTTAATAGTAATAACATTGTAAATACTCACCCTCATCCCGTGAATAGTCCTCTCCAGAGTGAGGCTCGAACAGATAATCTCCAGTTGCTAGCTCAAAAGCCTAAAAAATAGCAATAGAGGTTTATATCAATCGGTCTCTAGATTGGTCTGTTATTATTACAAAACTTCTCAGACAAAAGGAAATAAAATAACATTTTCTCCACTGTTTGGACTAATAAAGAAAATGTTGAAACTGATATACATGTACTTTGCTGTGGTCCCCCACTGCAATAACATGGCACCTCCAAGGGGGGTCGACCCACAGTTTGGGAACTGTTTGCTAATGTGAACATTACCTAACTGAAATATTGAGACACACTTGTTTGTTACGTTATTGTCCTGTGAACATAAGTGTCATTTTCTGCAGGAACTGTAAGTGTTTTTTTTATATTTTATTGTTTTTTTTCTGCCTTTACAGCTGGATGAATATCTGCTGTTAAAAACCACCTCCACATTGACAACAGTCGGACTTCCACTCCAGGTTTAATCACTTGATTCAGTCAGCCGATCATTCCTTTCAAGGTAACTAACAAACAAGTGTTGACTCCAGACTAATGTATACCACTGTACATGACTCATACTGCATGTATAAAGTATATGTATTTCTTTTCCTACCATGCAGGCGGTGCTCCAGATATCTGCAGGAGTACTGTAACCAGCTCCGATCAGGACCTCGATGGCACGGTACTGTCGCGTTTGAATGTCCTCCGTAAAATGCTTATGCTGGAATGGAAAAGCGGGGTTTACTGTCAATTTATTTATGAAATTATTCCAGCATATAAATGTAAATGTAAACGTAAACAGCGTAATCAGAGAAGGTAATAAACCAGGTAACTATGGTGACAAGATTAAGAGTCAGAGTCTTACCACCCAGCAGGCATTTCCGAGATCTGCAATTTTGACTCGAATAGATTCGGCGTTGCGAGGGTCGAGTGGGTTAATGAGGAGGTCCGCAGCTCTGGCTCTCACTGAAGGAGGGAGAGCAGAACAAACGCAGGCTTAATTTATGGGAGGGAATGTAAATAAATACAGCCTTAGAGGTCGATGAACTAAACACAATTCACACGGCAGCACTGGCTGTCAGGTTGAAGAGGATGAAGACAAACGTCGTCAGTGTTTGATAGAAACAAGAATCTAACAATAATATTTTTAAAAATGGTCATAAATGTAATAATTAAGCTTTAATTATGTGTTATTTGATTAGAGATATATTAGGAATGTTAATTAAGTAAATATAGTGAAGCCTATGTTTTCTAATATAATGGTGTATTAAAAATACAATTCAATTTAACTGAATAAATTATCAATATTTAAATTCCAATGTGTTAAAATTAGGGATGTCCGATAATATTGGCCGACTGATATTATCGGCCCAAATTTAGCATATTATGTACAGTAATATCTGTACGAATAAAAATAGTTTTGGGGATAAACGGCTGTATATTAATGTGAAAGTCACTAGATGGCAGCATTGCAGCTCATTTAATTATTTTCATACTCTTACAGTGGTTTGTAAATAAATGATTATTACCAGGCCTACATCAGTATCGTTGATATCAGAATCGGAAATAAATTGTTTGGACAATATTGCATATCGGACATCCCTAGTTATACAACAATTTATTGTCTGGCAGTGACTTGAAACATTTCTTACCCTTAGGTGTGTCTCCTGTGCTGGAAGAAGATACGGTGCGACTGCGGTCAGCAATGGGACTGTTGGGTGATGGTCCTGCCGCAATGTCTGCCATCCCGACAGGTAAGGGGTTTCCTGGCTCAGGGTCCAGGGGTAAATCTGGAAAGATGGGCTCTGTGCACAGGTGGCGCTCATTGGAGCCGTTGGTCAGAGGGGGTTCAGCCAGCTCGCCATTGTACATCTCATAACCAGAGCTGAGGGAGAAGTCTCTGTCTGTGTAGCTGAGCTCAGACTCCACCAGGGGGCAGAGGAGAGGCTCTGGGGTAGTGGACTGAGCTGGAGAAGAACCAGGATTGACTTTGAGTCCCTCTGTGTCCAACAGAATGTGACCGTTGGTCTTGGCCGTGTTGGCCTTGTTGTTGTGCAGTTCGATGGAGGAGGTGTTGTCTGTCAGGATCTCTGCAGTTGTGTCGTCATCCTCGTTCTCCTCCTCCTCTTTCACCTCCTTATACTCTTCATTCTGCTCCTTTGATTTCTCCTCTTCCAGCACGGACTCATCTTCCTTTTCACTTTCTTCTGTGGATCCGTCTTTTTCCGTCTCCTTCTCTAACTCTTGTTTCTCCTCCTCGTCCTCCTCCTCCTCCTCTGACTTGGCTTCCTTTTCCTTGTTTTCATTCTCATCTTCTGTTGCTTTCAATCTCTCTTCTACCTCCTTCTTCTCCTCCTCTTTTTCATCCTCTGTTTGAGTTAGCTCTCCATTACCTTCCTCTGGGACGGGCGGAATAGGAGCATTTTTTTCAGCAGTTGGTGTGGGCTCCTCGTCCTCGTCCACCTCCTCATCGGTTATGTGGAGTATGTTGATCGTCTCCTGGGTGGAGGCTGCACCTGCAGTAGAGAGAGAGGAAAAGAGAAAGAGAAGGAAATGAGTGTGAAGCACTGCATGTTGCGTCAAAGACACTAAAGACAAAAACAATGAATAAAAAAGGAAGAAATCTAGAACAAAGACAGAAGATTGATAGAAGAGAGAGTACAGGCGACAAAAAGAGACTGTGGAATACCAAAATATAAAATAATGATAACCTACGTATACGCCGTAGGTTCTCCACTCACATGTATGATTTGTCAACCTGACGGGCCTCTCCCTGTCACCCTCCTCCTCGTCCTCGTCTTCTCCATCATCATCATCGTCGTCGTCCTCGTCGCTCTCTCCCAGGGCGATGCTGGGACCGATCTGCGGTGGCAGTGACTGCAGCGGTGACGCCGGGTTGCGTTCCAGTTCCTCCTTCTCTCCTCCATCTTTGGCTCTTTCTTCCCTCTTCTCGGCTTCTCTCTCCAGGGCTTCAATCTCCAACATCCGCCGCTCCAGCAGCTCCGCCTGACGCTTCTGTTTCTTCTTTAGCTTCTTCTTTTTGTTCTTGGAAATCTTTCCCACCTGGGAGAAACAGAAGAAAAAAACAGAAGTGAGAAGGGAGAGTCACGGGGGAGACAAAAACAGATCAAAAAATTGGAAAAGAATTATGATTTTATTCTAAACGATTGTGATTAATCACACTACAGCATCTGGAGCCAAATTCTAAGCTCCCTGACAAATAAAGACATTAAACTTCAACAGCCATCCACAGCTGTACTGTACTTTTATAATGGAATTCTGAACAGTAGTATGAATGCACTGGTCAGGTTCACATGTACTTGCAAATCTCTTTAAAAAAAAAAAAAGGTTTATTATGAATACTGGCTCTGTGCAAAAACAGCCTGAGTACTGTTTCTATTTTCATCACGGTGGTGCATTCAGAGTCTGAAATTGTGATGATTAAACCATATGGTGTAAAAAGCCCAGAACACATGGTTTCTGGTTTCAATCTTCTGTTTGTTTGTTTGTTTGTACCGGGGCTTGTGGTTTTGTAAGGAATATTTGAATGACATCCTAAGTAAACTCAACTTTATTGTGTGCCACAATTTAAATGAGACAAAATATTTAATCAAGTGATGTATTACAATGTTGCTGTCACTTTAAGAGGTTTCCTTCTGGTCCCGGATTTGATGGTTTGGAAAATATTTATTTATTATAAATAATACCTCGATAGCATTTTCAGGATTTTTTTTTAAATTAGTTTTATGTATTTAAGAAAGTCCTTATAGTAGTTGTGTAATTTTTTTCAGTAGTGCAGTAGCAGCGTTGTCACTAGTATAGACATTGCCCTCTAGTGGCCACAGACGATAAGGGGTATATTTTTGATATACAAGTTCATTTGAAAGAAGTCTCAGGACCAGCAGTGGTACTACAAAGTAAATATTTGAAGTGCTTACTGCACCATTGTATCTGTGTGTGTGTTTGGGTTCAATCAGGGTTTGAATTAGAGTCAGATTCCAGTTAGGATAAATGAATGGATAAGGCATGGATTTGCAGTAGAGTTAGGATAAAGGGCGGGGGAAGTCTCTTTGTTTATGTGAAGTGGTCACAAAACATGAAAACCCGTGTGTGCGCGTGCATGTGTGTGTGTGTGTGTGTGTGTGTATTTCTCGTTGGTCATACTCACATCTGTTGTACTCACCGGTTTGAGCTGAGGAGCTGTGCTAACTGACAGACAGAGAGAGAAACAACAACTGTTAGCTGCTTCACAGTCGGACCAACAACATTCCATTCAACAGCAGCCACTTCACAGTCAGGTTGTCATTCACTCTCACCTAAAAACGTACAGAATTTGTCACAGAGGTCAGACGTTTCACACACGCACCAACCGCTTGTTAAAAACATCCATGAAAATAACCGTCATTTAACTCCTGAAAACCTCGGTCCTCGTTTCCTTTCCTAAACATCAACAACAAATGTTGGCCTGTGAACCACTTCCTGTTCTGATCTGCTCATGAACTCAGACAATAAGCAGAACCGTCGACTTCACACCTGTTACATGTGTAATTGAACATCAACGTGGCACCAAAATAAAAAAAAACAAATGCTCACTCATCCTGACTAACCAAAGTGAAACAACTCTAACGTTGTACTTGTATTTAAACATAAATATAGAATATAAACAGATAAAGAGACTGACAGAACCTGTAATTGTTCACTGAAAAATTCTAAACTGCAGACATGAATATCAAAAATATGTTGACAGTGTCTGCTACAAAAGATCTTGTTCTTTTTTAAATATATTGCCATCCAATTATTACCGCTACCATTTAAAAAAGCACAGATTTATAAAATTTTAGGAAATCTATCTGTCCATCTGGAAAAAAACAAAAAAGTAAACATATGGGAGAAAATTCAAGATGGAGAAATGTGAAATGGTATTGTAAACAGATTAGAAAGAAATGAATATAACAAAAACAGAATATAAAGAAAGAAATTGGGTTAAAAAAGATCAGTAAAGTAGTAAAGTTAGGAGATAAAGTTATTGTAATTAGCTACTGCTATATTGCTGTTTTTATTAAAATAATATTTAGTCATTGCTGCTATCATTGCATGTGTTTTGGTGCTGTTGTTCCTCAGTTAGATGCAGAGCTGAACAGATGCTGTAGATTTATTTCTGGGCTGCTATTGTTCTACGGTTTTATTGAATTTCTTTTTTTCTAAATTCTATCCAGAAGTTTGTTTGAAATGCGGAGGAATTGTCCTTCAGGGATCATTACAGTAATTCTGATTCTGATTCTGAGAACGCGGGGCTTTCAAGGTCATTGGATTCCTGTAGTTTTGGCTTTTTTTCTTAGACATGTTTTTTGAGAGACCTTAACATTACGCCATAGAATTTCTTCTGCGTCTTTAACCACTTAGTCTTTTGTGTCACCACTATTTGACAGAGGACAAGTCAGCAGTATAATCAGCTACTACCCAAAGCCAAAAATACTTCACTGGATACTGAGAGCTGCCTGGAGCTCATCTGAGAGATGGAGGCTAATGGTGGTTCACCCAGAGTTCACCTCACGAACGGAGCAATCACTATCAAGACTCATTTTGAATCAGTTGTCTGAAAAGGTCGATGACAAAGGGTGTCTGTGGGGGTGGTAAATGGGCAGAGGAAAATTCTGAGTTCTTTGATTACATCTGTTTTTTTTCCCCAATTAATTGGGAGTTGAATTTTGAATCAGCCTGTCTTCTAACCCTGAGTTAAATATTTAGTGAAGAAAAACAGATACTGGCAGTAGAACAATACCTGCGTTATGGCCATCATGAAACTGAACCAAACAATTCATCCAACTGTTTTATTTAACAAGATTATTGTGTGTGTTGACATGTTTTTAAAGCTACATAGAGTTGAATGCGTTATTTCTTGCGGAGCTCACCGACAAAGTTTTCATTTGATAATCAGTGATACAGATACAGTGGTTACATCTGAAGACATTATTTTTCTTCAGGTTTGAGGCCAAACTCAAGTTGATGTCTCCCTACCTGCTGATCCCGACGGCGGCGGGGCTCCTGCTTTCTGCCACTCTGTGGCCTCCATGGCCATGCGTCGAACAAATGTGTCGTCCACGCACATCAGTATGTTCTCTGGCTTTATGTCTGTGTGGATGATTTTACACTTGGTGTGGAGGTAGTCCAGACCCTGCAGGACCTGCGGGCACAGCGGGTGAACGGTGTTTGTGAAGCAGGATCAGATTAGGTTGTGTCTTTAAGAGAGATATAATGGGCGTGTTTGGATCTTCTACCGCTAAACTAAATTTGAAGAAAATTCAAGTCCCTTGCGGAAGTTCAGCCACAACATTAGCTAAGCTAATAGCTAGGTATGATTTATTGTAGGTCATTTTTTTCACTATCCTGTGTGACAAAATTAAGAAATTCACCCAAAATACTGGTTGCCTAGCGACTACACAACAACACAGACCATGAAGTGAGAACTGTGTGTAACATGTTGAGCGTTGTCCCAAGTCATGGATGACTTTGTTAGATTGATGTTTATTTTTGACGTTTTTTTTATTAGGTCAAACCCAGCTCGTGCGTTAGCTCTGCTAAGCTAACTTAATTATCGTCCCAATCTAACACAAACTGCTACAGTTTTCTACTCTGTGTGTGTGTGTGTGTGTGTGTGGACTCACCTGTTTGATGATGCTCTTCACACATGGCAGTGGCAGACCTTGGTAGTTGGATTTAATAATCCACTTCAGCAGGTGGTGACCAAGTACCTCAAACACCATACACACATCTGGGTCACAGAGTCAAGAACGTACATCATCATATCTCTGTTAGTCAACACACACACACACGTGCATAAACCTATTGTCAGGATACGTATGCCATTGACGCCAGAGATCTTGAAGTCATCTATCAGCTGGACGACCATGTCCTTGTTGGGGTCACCGGGGTCACTCTCCCTCACCTGAAAGATCAGTGAGGAAAGAGGAGTGAATCAGAGGACGGTGAAGGAAAAGGTTAATTTAGGGACATGAACTGTGGAGTTTGAGATCAGAGAGGTTTATATGTAGGAGGTGAAATCATAATGAGCATCACTTGGCCTCTATCTGTATGACAGATGACCAAATAGTACTGAGGATTAAAGAGGGGAGAGTTTGAAAGAACATGAGATGCAACGAAAGAAGAGAGGGAAAAAAAGTAATGTCAAACGGATCGGATCCTCACACATCGCAGCAGTTTGATCTCATCCAGGGCGGTCTCTGTGTAATGCTGGGCACTCTTCACCACCTTCATGGCCACAAAGTTCTTCACCCTGTGGGGATACACACACACACACACACAAACACACAAACACACATTGAGCCAATCAAAAAAAAAAATCCAAAGGTTATCAAAACAAGAAATGCAGAGTGTGTGTGTACGTGAGAGAGAAAATATCAGCCTGAACAAACACTGGCCAACATTTTAGCATTCTCGCTGCCTACACTGGCACTGCTAATGCAAATGTATGAGCTGTGTGGCATTTATACACCGAACAATGTCAACATTATGTAACGGGGACTCGAACACAGGCTGGTCAGCAGCTCCCTCTAACCCACTGACGGCAGATCCTCGAAAGTGAAATCCTTCAGTTATTTTCCTATCTATACACTTAATAATCTAAAATAATTTGACTAGTTTGAAATAATAAGTATATATTTCTTTTAAAGCCACACTCTAATAATGAATTAAAACAGCAAACAGAGGGAGGGAGGTACAAAGTTATGAGTTAATCCTGCGTGACGTCCGATCCAGTGGAATTAAAGCGGAGGATTAATAGTCAGGGTGGATGAAGGTAATGCAACTCCAGCTCCCTGGATCGTGAGCGCCATTAGTGTAATTAACACTGGTGACATAAGTCAATGAGTTTGAGCCCGTGTGCATATGGGTGAGAAGGTGTCTGTGTGTGTGTGTGTATGAGGCAGTGAAAGGTGACACTGAGATGACGATACTGTTATCCATCCTCGCCAGTTGCTACGGGAACCCAGAAACAACATTATGGTGCAAATGGATGCCGCGTTACCAACGGTGTCGGTCGCAACCGTTGTAGCGGTGACATAGTCCGATCGTGTCCACAGGTGCGTGTGTGTGTGTGTGTGTGAGAGGGGGGAGGAGGGGGGTGTTTACTGGTCTGTTTACTGTTGGGTATGTCTTTGACATTTAAGTGGAGTGAAGGACGCCTGCTCTGATGTTGACGTGTGAGAAAAAGACCAGCTCACTGTATGTCCCAGCATAGCCACACGGTGGAGAAGTGGCCCCATCCCAACTTCCTGATCACATGGTACCGTCCATTGAACAAATCCCCAATCTTCACTGGATGGTACCCTCCTGAGAGAGAGAGAGAGAGAGAGAGAGAGAGAGAAAGAGGGAGAGAGAGAGAGATAAGGATAGAACAGGCTTATAACCACCGCTCCTTCGGGGGCGTGGCATTTGTTCAATCAGTAGGAATGAAATGATTTTGTGTTGCACTTGTTGGACAGTAATAAACGTCATAGTCAATTTTTTTTGTGAAACACTAAGGAAAAGGCCACAGTAGGAAACTATGATGAAAGTCACAATGTAATGACGCCAAAAATATAGAAATGTCCACGTTCAAAATCTCAGTCTGTCACTCTGGGGTAAGTCAAAGAAAAGCTCCTAACTGTACCTCCGGTACTGGACACCAAATGTTTTTATTAATTATCTCTATCATTGCAGATGGAATATTAAAGGACCATTTCACCTTTTTTCTTAACATTTTTTAGGGTTTTGTGACAGTTGGTTCTCTTTTGCTGCAATGCCGTCACGGTCTTGTTTTTCCTTCTCACCATCGTCTCAAAATGCAACGGAAGATTATTCCATCTGTGTGACTTAACAGCTGTTTCTCTACAGTTGGTTTCATGGTGGATATCTGCAGGAGCAGCTTTGATTACACTCGCTGAAGCGCGTCCAGTCACTTTACTTTCATCCAAAAGAAACACAAACAGAAACACAATCAGCTTAAACCTGTTGTTGTTGTTGTCGTTTGAGATGCCGTGTCTTTGTTCTTGGCACGGTGGCTCTACCAGCTGGCAGACAGAGAGACGGAGCTTCACAGGGTTACAGTGTTGTGGGTGGGTTTTTATTATTATTATTATTATTATTAAGCACCGAACTTTGTAAATTCTATAGACTGGAGAGAGCAGGCCATGATTCCAACAAGATCAGATCACTGCTACTCCAATCATGTCTGTGCATATGCAGAATTTATATATATATATATATATATATATATATACAGTATATATGTAATTATATATTTATATGCTTTTGTTGTGCCGTCTGCTTTGTTTCTTCACTCTCTTCACAAGGTCACCAGAGCCAAGCTCTCAGCAGCACCAGTCCATAACACGTATAAGGCAATAGCTTTGTGCTCCCTACGGGGACCCGCCCCCCACTTTGGGAACCACCGCTTTCCAGGTAAATCGATGTGCACTAAATTCATGCTATAATCAACTAAAGAGAAAACCTTTAGCACACACATGTTTTGTTTCTTTTATTTCCGAAGCCGTTGTGCAGTGAACACCCAGACAGACAGAGTGCAGTCTATGGCATCCTTAGCCTCTGCAGAAAACTGGACCGTGTCAAAACCAGACAACCTTGGAATGGTAAAATCACAACTAATGAGCTCTCTCACTGTGCTGTAAAATGACACCACTGCAGTTTCCACCACAATATGGAGGAAAACAGGAGAGGATAGAGGGGAGAGAGAGGGGACTCTGGGTCAGAGACTGCAGCCATCACTGAGCTCTGTGGGTGTGGAGGTAATGGGCTGACTTCAGTGTGTGCGTGCTCGGTGTATCATCCAGACCTTTGCAGTAGTCTGCGGGGTCTTCCTGCTCCTCATCGTCGGAGCCCAGGATCTCCTCCTCCGGCTCTGGAGGCCCTGTCGGCTCAGGGGGAGGTGGAGGAGGTGGCGGTGGAGGAGGGGCAGTCACCGGGGCTTTCTGCTGATTCTCAGGCCTGTATGGAAACAGAACAAGCAGTTACTCAGAAAAGTAAGGCAACCTTTCAATTAGCACCTCACAAATCCAGGCTGGAAATATGTTTCTGACGTTTCCTCTTCTTGGTGTGAGTCACGACAAGGCAACTATTGACTAATCGTTAAGACAAGATGACTAATATGGTTTTGTCTGCTGAATGGTATCACTACTCATCCAGTACTGACTCTAAAAGATCCAGAAATGACACTGGAACTGTGTTCCTGTCAGTCACCTGAATCATCTCAAGACAGAAAACAAAACAGTATTAGAAAATAAACAAATAGAAATAGATAGAAATGTATCAATCCATCAGGAGTGCCCTTTGGGAAATTAAATATAACATTTCTTAACAACTTTCATTTGAGTTCTGCTTTACTACCAGCAGAGACGCCCCCTGGTGGTGGTTCACATGGGGTAATCACAGCCGAATTAGATCCATGATGAAGTGAGACGCTAAAAACCAGTAAATAAAAAAAAGAGATGAATGCAAATCATTTGTGGCTACATGACAAAATACTATCCAAATATTTTTAGGGTTTATTAACAGAAATGATAACCTCACATTTAATTAGAGAATAATTTTGCAACGTATCTAATCTAAACTAAACCTAGAGATTATTGTCATTTTAGTTCAGTTAGTGGAGCAGAAAAACAAACAACTGTGTGTTCTGGAAAAACTGGTTACAGAGTGAGAAAACCAGAGAGGCAGATTCAGACAGGCATACAGTATTTAAAAGTATTCAGTGACTACTGACATTGGCATGGAATAGGCCAAACGTAGAAGGACAAATGGATGCATAGTTGAGGCTTGTTCGTGGTTTCAGTGCGCACTTTCCTGTTACACTTCCTTGGCCTGGACTAAAATGGAACTGAGCCCATGAGAGGAGAACTCTGAAATAGGCTGCAGCACACAGACAGACAGACAGCCTCATTTTTTAAGGCCTGACTGTTTTGTTTTTTTTGAACACTTGGCTGACACTCTTATCTGGGGTGACATCCAGTTACAGATCAGCCTGAACGTAGATACGTACGTGCGGCGGGTTTGTGACCAGGCTTTTAAATGTCTCTGTTTTGGCAGATTCCTTTAAAGTAGGACATCACACTACCACTGTGACACTTGTTCCAGAACATTCTTTCTTTTTTTCAATCAACAGCGACACAAATCTTAACTGACAAGAAAGACACACAACATTTTTCTCTGTTTCTGTCTACTCTGGGGAAATAGTAAAAACAATGAAAGCAAAAACTAATGGATTGGTAAAAAAAAAAAAAACCTTATTTTTGTGAAGCATGTATTTCTTGATTTTATTCATTATTTGTGGCTACATTTGGGTGTAAATAGAAATAGATAGAAATGTATCAATCCATCAGGAGTGCCCTTTGGGAAATTAAATATAACATTTCTTAACAACTTTCATTTGAGTTCTGCTTTACTACCAGCAGAGACGCCCCCTGGTGGTGGTTCACATGGGGTAATCACAGCCGAATTAGATCCATGATGAAGTGAGACGCTAAAAACCAGTAAATAAAAAAAAGAGATGAATGCAAATCATTTGTGGCTACATGACAAAATACTATCCAAATATTTTTAGGGTTTATTAACAGAAATGATAACCTCACATTTAATTAGAGAATAATTTTGCAACGTATCTAATCTAAACTAAACCTAGAGATTATTGTCATTTTAGTTCAGTTAGTGGAGCAGAAAAACAAACAACTGTGTGTTCTGGAAAAACTGGTTACAGAGTGAGAAAACCAGAGAGGCAGATTCAGACAGGCATACAGTATTTAAAAGTATTCAGTGACTACTGACATTGGCATGGAATAGGCCAAACGTAGAAGGACAAATGGATGCATAGTTGAGGCTTGTTCGTGGTTTCAGTGCGCACTTTCCTGTTACACTTCCTTGGCCTGGACTAAAATGGAACTGAGCCCATGAGAGGAGAACTCTGAAATAGGCTGCAGCACACAGACAGACAGACAGCCTCATTTTTTAAGGCCTGACTGTTTTGTTTTTTTTGAACACTTGGCTGACACTCTTATCTGGGGTGACATCCAGTTACAGATCAGCCTGAACGTAGATACGTACGTGCGGCGGGTTTGTGACCAGGCTTTTAAATGTCTCTGTTTTGGCAGATTCCTTTAAAGTAGGACATCACACTACCACTGTGACACTTGTTCCAGAACATTCTTTCTTTTTTTCAATCAACAGCGACACAAATCTTAACTGACAAGAAAGACACACAACATTTTTCTCTGTTTCTGTCTACTCTGGGGAAATAGTAAAAACAATGAAAGCAAAAACTAATGGATTGGTAAAAAAAAAAAAACCTTATTTTTGTGAAGCATGTATTTCTTGATTTTATTCATTATTTGTGGCTACATTTGGGTGTCTAAACTTTTCTTTAAAGAGGGCCAGATTTCAAGAAGTGAACATGTGTGAGGACCAAGCATTCAGCCTGACAATTCAAATTAAATTAAATATAAACATATATATTTAATATAAATTTGACCTTGGACTACAATTGGCCCACAGGCCAGACTTTGGACATGCCTGGTGTAGTGTATCTGCTGGGCTATTAGGATATTTTCCTCTATGGTCATATTAAAAAATAAACTCTCACTTTCATTTACTTTTATTTTTTTCATTGACTCAGTTCAGTTTTGCAACAAAAACAAACTGTCTCTAAAATCCACATGTTCACAGAAATACTCAGGCCTCTTTTGTAGCTTATTCATAACCACTGGTGGGTTCCCATGGCAACTGCACTGGGTGTGTGTGTGTGTGTGTGTGGAGGGTTAGTCCAGTGCCAATGCCGGAGCACGTACAAAGCATAAAATAGCAGTGGTTCGTCCAACACAGCTTCAAAAAACAGAAGTTAGCTCAGCATTGGGACGCCACTGCGTTTTTAGAGCAGCAAACATACACACACAAGTGTGTGCCTGCGTGTGTGTGTGTGTGTGTAGATCACTGTGTCCTTGCAGCTGGTTGCAGCTTCTTTACCAAAGCAGTCACGTAGAGCGTCATAGATCAAGTGTAAAGGCTCGGGGCTTTTATACGGCTCCTCTTGCCGTTGGCGGCGCGCTCACTTAACCCCCATAACTTTCCAGACCCGTTCTGAACAGCAGAAACACGGTGAAGAGAGCAAAGACGGTACATTATGAAGGAGACGCCGAGCAGAGATGGAGGGGCGGAATGATGAGAGAAAGGACGCAGAAGGTGGCAGAATGAGATAAGACGTGTGGAGAGAAAAGGTGTCTGCAGATGAAGACCACAGCCAGACAGAGATGTAAAGACAGAAAAGGAGAGGGAGAGAGAGAAAGACAGGCGGATAAAGAGAGTCATATGAGGGCTGTTCAAAAAGCAGTAAACAGCAGAAGACGAGATTGTGTTTTGAAAAGAATGCAAGCTGGAAGAGACATTTAAAAAAACATAGACTGTCCAAATGAGACAAAGACTCTCTTCTGAAATGCTATGAAAACATTCCTCCAGTATCTTATTTCTGAGTTTCTTTAATCAGCATGAATTCTCATCCCCACTGATCTGTTCTGTGAATCGATCCACCTCCCCCCACTGAGGAACAGGTGGAAGTGCAGACAGCATTAGTGCTGAGCAGGTGAAAAACATCAGCATCAACCGACGGGAGACAGAGGACAGGATCGTCTCTGACAACATCTAGGTGAAGAAATGCTTTCTTTTCTCGTTTTTTTAACTTGATTGATTTTAATTAACTCATTGAGGCGAAATGTGTTTAGTGAATGTGGGCCGTACAAACAACACTCACTGATTTGACTTAAACATCCAGCTCCAACCTGTCAACGCTGATTCATTTACTCTTTAAATCAGCGTTTACTGAGCCTTTCCTCCATAACTGGAACTAATTTTGCAGCTGCAATGTAGGAAATAAATCCTGGTACTGGAGATTGATTTTATATTTCATAACCAAACACTGTTTTTCCAGGTTTATTCTAGACATGTTTCCTGGTCATCAGCTCAATAAAAGCTCAGAAAGCATCAAGTGAAGGTAAGGTTTCCATAATACCACAACCACCGTCACAAATTAAAACACTCTGTGTTTGTGTGGGTGAAGCATGAAATGTCAGTATATTAATACACCATATATATATAATGATGTGTGTTTGTGTCACCAAGAATACACTCCTGCCCACTCCTGCATTCTCTTTAGACTAAATATGATGCTGTATAAATATGCACAGGCCGTCTGTTCTGTCGCGGATGTTTGAGGCTACGATTCAGTCGCACCCACGTTACATGTCAACCACGGATGGAGCATTACATCAGGGAAAAAGATCAGTTAAAGACCACAGAAAAAAATCTATATAAAGAGAAAAATATTTAAATTTCACTTCAATCAAGACACATTGAATTTTAATTTTAATTTTTATATTTTTTTTATATTTTTTAAAATATTTTGTTGGTACCAATCGCAGTACACTCAATAGGATTTACTTCAAGTACGACTGTTCAGCACAGGTCGAGACAGGAGCCAATCAGTCATCAGCCCGTCTTACTGACGAGGTCAAAAGCTACAAAGCACGTCTTCTATCTTTTAGCATCTCACTTGTATCTGTATGGACATGTCCATACTGCTCCTTGCATCCTGGCTGGAGGAAAAGTATGTGCAAAGATTTGTGCGCAGACACACACACACGCCCAACGTTGGCATGTGCAGCACCAACGTTAAACTAAACAGCCTGACACATTTTCCTACATCCAGGTCAAGATGAAAAGGCCTCAGTGTCACCTAAAGAGTAAGGTAAACACGATGTCATGAGAGACACCCAATTTCTGACCATATTCTTAACCAATCACAGAGCAGTTATGTCTCCAACAGTAGTAAATCCTGTGCTAACCCTGGTCTGTTGTTGTTAATGGCTGACTTGCCCAGGCAGCAGTGGAAGTGTCGGCAGTTCACAGGTAAAACATCGCCTACAGTTACAATGAAAACAAGCCGTTATCCTAATATCAACTCCTGTCAACGGTTACAAGGAAGAAGTGTCAGCATTAGCGCTAATTTGACAAGTTTTAAATATAGATCCTTGGCTGATTGAAATTGTCTGTGGTCATCAACAGGCAGAGACTGGAAATGGAATAAACTAGGGATGTCCGATATGCACATAGGTGATGGGTTTAAGCCCCAGGGGACAGACGTTTTTTCACATACTTCGGCTGTAAATATAAATCTATTATAGCTAATGCGAAAATCCCCGTTAACACGACTGACTCGCTGAGACATTTGACCAATTTGGACCTGATGCTGCTGACATATTTGTCAAATTGTGTCCCACTCGTCACCTGTGTCTCTTCCATAAGCTGGTTGGATGCAGTGATTGTGATAGAAGTCTGTCTGTAGAACTGGCCTCTACTGTGAATCCCCTCACAGTCTATTTGCATTGATAACTTCCACTACTAAGCTAGCATTATGCAGCAGTATGTGTCCATATGTGACCGACAGCATGTACTGCATGATCAGTCCGTTCTATTGCAACACTTGCATTACATGTGTTCATGTTGCTTTTCAGTTGTTACAATATGTTGAGCATGTTAAAAAACATTGTTTTTCTGAACCAGTTGTGCCGTGTGTATTAAATGACCGCAGGCTCTTGTATTCATGTATTACTGTAGTTTTCTATTAAGCAGCTTGTCTTTGTGAGTGCCAGTGAAACTGGTGTCATCCTGGATCCAAACTTTTTCCTAACTTTCCCTTCAAGGTTTTACATCAGTGGCTGAGAAAATCACATGACTCACACATCCACCTGTGAGAAACCACATAAAACAGCTGACCGCTCTCAAGTTCAAACTTGATGACTCAACCATAAACATGCCCTACTGTCACCATGGCAACAGGCATTCCTTAGCAACAGGAGCATCATCCTCCTTCGCACTAACTGCTAAGGTGTGGGATTCAGACCGCGGGTGTCCTTGAGCTCTGCTTATCCATCCCAGCCGTCTCTACCTCCAATTGATTCATGGTTAATCTTTCATTCTCTGCGTCGCTCCATCTTGGCTGGTGTTAGCAGGACGGCTGACTCATTCCCTCCTCTCCTCCAGAGTCTCTGTCTGTGTGGTTAACTGAGATCTCGCCGCTATTTTGAGGAGGCAGTGATGTCACGGGCTGCACTGGCCCAATATAACCTCTAGTGGGACATTACAGCTCAGAAAGATCCCGAATGATCGCAAGTACTTTTCAGTACTGCAGTTCAGTACATTGTCAAAAGACAGAAAAATGGTTTCAGTACTTTATAGTATTTAATATAAAGTGCAAGATATAGACCCATAAACTTGAAATTGTATTTTGGCTGCTTTAAGAGCTTCTCTATGAAAAATGTGAGGAATCAATAAGACAGAATCAATAAGACAAGACAGACAGAGCTATTCATTACACAGCTCAGATTCAGCGTGCCGTTTTCGGGGCACCAGCTCATGAAATGCTGCCATTGAGAATTCTTGTCACACATTACGAATCTCTTGTTTTACATCACAAAACCGCTCTAATTTTAATACCATCTGCCGTCTTTTATGGGAAGTTTCTAAGCACATTCTTTATCGTTGGTAAGATTGGCGTCTTCAATATTTCAGAAGAGAAAGTCCCTTTAGACGCAGAGCCACCGTACTGCCTGCATAAATTATATCAATTTCAGGATCCATTGTTTGCTCCCTTTTGAATTCAAACAGATGGAATAAAACAGATTAATTCCAAGTCTTACACCAGACAATTTAATTTGAATTGAGTTTGTGCACTTTAATGTCTCGGGAAGAAACTTCTCCTTGTTGCTCCGTGTTGTGAGGTTGAAGAAAATGATGCTCAGCTGTGCAAGCAAGACTGGAACTGTCAGTTTTGATGCACATTTATGCCCTAACACCCATGAGGTAGTCACAGAGGTGGTCATGTTTACTCAGGGAGGTCACCCCGTGACCCGACTTCAGAAAACAGCACCACCTAACCTCTGTGCTGCTGCGTGGCCTCACACAGGTAGCGTTTTACAGCTGTTAGCCGCTGTCACGACACATGCACTGCATGAAGTTTACTGAGAGGTCAAAAGGTGACAGCAGTGTTGTTTGTGATTTCAATGTGAAAAGATTTGGCAGGAAGGTCACTGTGATGTCACCACAAAATAAGCAGTCTTACACTGTACGTGGTGTCGGCGACGTGGCACAGAGCTGAACTGGATCTGGTCTGGTCACTGAGCAGTGTCCTGTTGTTTACGGTGTGTCAGCCTGCCTGCCTTACACACAGAATGTCCTGGGTTTGAGTCTCAAAGGCACCAAATACTCAGTGACGCCTCCTGTGTGGCAGTCTGTGAGTTGCAACCACTTTTTTTGGTTACACAGTGAGTCAGTTGTCATGGCCGCCGTACACGTCTGCCTTACACATAGAAGGGTGAAACTAAGTGTAAACCAAAACCCATGTGAATCTCATTCAGAGTGTATAAATGTGGTGATGTCACAGCACACACAGTGCATGTACACACACGTGTGTAGAAGCTGCAGGACCAGGATGTAATCTCCCCCATCACGTTGCTGTTTCTGACTGCCTCTGTGGTGGCAGCGTGTCATGTATGTTTCCTGTCATACCAGTAGCCATTAGTCTGCTCCTCATTGTTTACTTTCACTTGTATGCAGCTGGTGGCTATCTGCTCAGTGCCCTCCACCCTCCTTTTTCCATGGCGTACCTATACACACCATTCTCCCGCTGTCGCTGATGTCGTCTGACCACAAAGCCGGGTATCATGGAGATTACTTCCACCCACAGAGAGCGCATCTCTGAAAAGCCAGCAGCGGATATGCAAAATGCAAAACCAAATACCCCGTAGGTGAAAACGCAGTGAGAACACACATTGGAACGCACGGTTTAAAAAGCTGGGACCATTATGTCCAGTAGCTTTTTTTAGCATAAAAAACAATTATATATTTTGAAACCCTGTCTGAGTGGGTTAGTCATTCTGTTAAAAAACCCTTCCATTAACCTCTAGATATTTTGAACACATTTCTCTCATATACAGTAATTTGTCTGGGTCTGCGGAAAGACGGCAGGGTTGCATCATCATCATCATGGTTTCTGCCACATCACTATCGCACCCAAGGTCCACTCATCAGTCAACTTAATGAAAACCAACAGCAGCACTTAAACACAGCCTCTTGTTGCCACATCATACCCAGTCCACTCAGACTTTTGTACACACCTAATGTGGTGGTTCCCAACGTGGGGGGCGTGACCCCACAGGGGCTCGGAGCTTTTGCCTAACGTGTAGCATGTGCATAAGTGTAATTTTATTAACTTTGTACTTTGAACACAGCAGTTGGATCAGAGTTTGTGTGTCGACAATACAAGTTTGTAAAAGTTTGTTATGAAACAGCAGAACGATGTCCTGTATATAAGGAGTTTACACCTGGTCATCTCTCAGGTTATTTTACCCTTTCATCATTTATTAATTAATGTATCACCAGTATGCGTCCTCCTTATTAGCACTGCTGCTTCAGCCTGCCGTTCCATTCTATTTGAGGATCAAATGATTCCAGTCTTGAACTAGGTTACACTAATCCTCCTGAGAAGTCACAGAACGTTATGAGTTTTCAGAAGCAGCCTCTAAATCATTCCTCACAATCGCTGTCAGTCTGAGATGCAACCTTCAAAGTTATATATATACTGTATATACAGTGTGTATTTGTGTGTATACTGGGTCCGTGTCCCGTTCCTACCCTCTATTTAATTACAGGCTTGTCAGTCACAGCAGAAGAATAAACACCCAGCTTTGCATTATCTTTGTCCAGAACTGGATTCATGCAGTTGGTTGATGACTGAGGGACAGATAAAAGACAAAGATTGTTCTCTAAGATGATGTGTCGTAACAACCACAGCTTTTCCAACAATATTTTTTTTAAAAACCTTAAAATTCATCAATTAACAAGCAACGATAAAAACAAAAAAAATGCATAAAAAAGATGAATATAAGACTGAACTTGAATTTTAAAATGCTCAACATATTCTCCAGATGAAAAAGTATTTTAAGTCGCAACTGATCTGTTATCACAACTGTATTGTTCGTAATCACCCAAGTATTCAAATCTGATATCATGCATTCTACTACAATTTGTGCGCTTCTAAAAGCAATCACAGCAAACTGTTGATTCACTTTGAAGACTTGGTGCATTTGCAGCTACTACTAGAACAAATAATTAGAACAAAACACACCACAGTACTAGCTTCACCAGCTGAAATAAGTATGAAAGTACACACACACCCCGTGTTGAATCCTGCCTATTAGTCTTGTCAGTCATGCACCCCTTTGACATCGTGTCCTTCTGTGTTCTGTTCTCCATCTACCTTTTTCGCAGGGCCCTGTGGCGAAGGCGAAGCACGCACAAAGCCAGACCCCATCGCTTCTTTTCGGAAATGCATGAGCTCCGCTCCATAAGGGAAAGAAACAAGGATGGACGCAGGGTCAGAGGGAAAACAGCGAGTCCTTTCCTGTGCTGCAGATGCACGGACACAGCAGTGGTGAGTCAAACTGAGCCCAGCCTTGAATTCCAGCTCAGATCATGTGGGCCTGTGACACCCACCTGCTAAGGATTCTGCTGGGTGCACACACACTTAGGTTTGTAGACTGTGTGAACTAAGGCGTGTGTACACACACACATATATCATAAATCCTCCCCCCCAAATTTTTTTTTTGCTTAAAAAAGCAAAAGAAGGGGAAAAACATCAACAATCATGTTGATTGCATTATTTATAATTTCTTTATTTGCACTATTACAGCAGATGGACAGATTGACACAAGGCTGTTAAATACAGGCCTCTGGTGGGAAATGTGTTTTTCCCACGGCATGCATTTTGTTAGTCCAGATTTTCTGGATTTTAATGAACCAAATTCAGTCAGGTAAGAAAAAACACAGCTGAACAAAATCCAAAGACACACAAAAAAATCTGTTGCTTTCAATGATGTAGCAGAGTCAGTGACTCGGACAGGTAATGAGGCGTAAAAAAGAGGACTAGTTGCCCAAGTATATATGTTGGGTTTGAGAGAGATATATAGTGAGCTAGTGGACGGGGGGGCGCACGGGGGGCTGACACAGAAGCAGACACAAAGAGAGACAAAGTGGTAGCTTCAAAATAAACATGTGATCTTGCGGCACATGTGAACACGAAGCCACACAAACAAACACATACCTTCCTCCACACACAGAAGCAAACAGGCCATTATCATTCCACGGCTTCAGAGCTGCAGCACCAGCGCAGATTAGTCCCCTGGATTACCCAACAGGTCTGCAGAGAGCCATCTATCATGGCCTCCCATCTTGGCGCTCACTTTCTTTCCTCTTCCTGCTCTGTATGTTTGTCTCTGTTAGACTCCCTGCTGTCGTCTCCATCTTCTCTCTCCTCTGCTTTGGTCTTCTTTCCTCTAGCCTGGACTTCCTTCTTTCACTCTCCTCCTATAGGGTTTATCTCTGTTCTCAGTATCTCAGAGGAATTGTGTCGTTCCCGAACAGTTCTGTGTACTGTTGCTCTCCTCCTACTTATATATATATATATATACATATATATATATATTTTTTGTATCGACTTCTTGCGGGGATTATTCATCCCACTCTCTGTCTCTTTCATAAATAGGAAAAAATAGTAGAAATTTCAGTTTAGAATTACACTGGTTAAAATCTCTCATTAAAAATAGTAAGTAACTCTTGGTTTATTTTTTTGGCTGCCCACTAATGAGAGTGTGTTGTTGATAAATTGAGTCCATGTGGAAACCCTAACATTTGATTATTGTAACATTTTTGACTCTGTCAATAAGCAGATACTAAATGTGATAAAAGAGATGTTTGACAAGAAAACTTAATAACTATGAACAATAAGGAGGGAGCGATGGGGGGGAAGAAAGAAGTAGAGAAAAGAGCACAGAACTAACTGGTTTGTTGCACATGTAAACACAGTGAGTCACCAGGGACATATGTGGACACAAACAGGGAAGAATAGTGAAGACAGTGAAATAAAAAGCTTCCCCGCCTCTGCTCTAGGACTGGAGTTCCAGTGCACTCTGTTCAAACATCATTTAGAGGAAATTTACCTGAGACTCATTCCCAAATTAACACACTGTCAGTACTACTGCAAAAGGATGACATCTTTTGTCATGAGTCAAGAAAACAAACAGTAACGTGAGCCCTTGTTTACCTACCACTGTGTATGTGTGTGTAGAAAAGTTGGACAGGACCATGTCACAGATAGTGACATGGACACAAGAAAACTTCCGGCTGCCCCCATCTTCATCCTCCACAGAGGATGACTCACATCCACAGATGAAATTCTGTCTAGTTTTCATCAGCACTCTGAGGCTGGGAGTCAAACCCTAGACTTCAGATTTGGACAACATCTGTTCCCGCTGAGCCACAGCAGCTTTATAAATCCCCACAACTAGACTTAAAAAACCTCTTCAATCTTTCTAGTCTATGACCTTTGTCCTCAACCATCACCTGTCACCTAAACCCTGACTTTGAC